GCTATGAACTGAGCCCTGAGGACTATGAGGATTAAGTACCCATAGCTTCAATCTTGTTCTTTTAGTCCTTTCTGAGCCAGTATGTGCAGCTACCTTGGCATTTTCAGAAATCTCTAGTGGGGTGTGTGGATTTACAAGGCATCAATTTTTTTACAGGCTCTCTAGCTATGCTACCCAGAGCACAGTAGCCAGTAGCCACATGTGGCTGTATAAATTTAACCTAAACCAATTAAAAAGAAATAAAGTTTTGAAGATGGACTTCTCACTTGCAGTCGCCGCATTTTAAGTGCTAATAGCTCCATGTAGCTAATGTGGCTATTTTCACCCAGAGATGAACACTTTCACTTTCAAAACTGCTGACCATTGCTGGGGTTGTAGCATGAGAGCAGAAGATGGTTCTGTAGCATAGTTTGATAAAATGTTGCTTAGTTTTGATAACTGTCCAGCATTTACCTTTCTGTCCTTGTTCTTTCCCATTCATCCTTGCTTCCATTGTCATTCTAAGATGCCTTCTCTGTCTAAATAAGCAGTAGTTCCTATCTGTTCTTTCCTACCAAGCAGTGATTCTTTTCTAGAGCCTGCCTTGGACAGGCTTAGTTAACGTTTGTCAATGGTTGACAGTCTTCCAGTTGTTACTGGATTTCTGAGCTGCTTCCTTACACAACAAAGTCTACATTTGCAAAAAAGGAGTGATAGGTTATGACGCATAGCCCTGTCCCGTATTAATACTGCTATCCCTGAAAATTGGGTGGTTGGGAAATGAGTTGCCACTCCACTGTGAGACCACATGGAACTTTGTGAGCTCTTCTCTCAGTGCTTGCTGGGTGTCAATCTTATGGGAGTGATTCTGGCATTTTGTCTTTCAGTGTGGGAACTTTGCTGTCTTGGTGGATCTTCACATAGCTCCCCGGGGCTCAAACACAGACACCAGCTGGTTTTCTGAAGAGAAGAAAGAGGTACAACAACATTATTCTCACCGTTTCAATGCAAGTAGCTGCTGCTTGAAGAACTACTAATTCTTTTCAGCTTTCTATTTTCACAAAAAGTGGGCAGAAAATTGAGCAGTATTTAAATTAACCCTTAATGAACAATTACTATATTCCCAATGAAACCTACCCTTACCCCCAGCCCACCTTTTTTCCTTTTGGAATTCCTTCAGAATCAACCACATCCATGCATTCCATATGCTACTCTACTATAAAGCTAGAAATATGCAATCCTTTTGTTTGGGGGGAAGGAATTTCTTATATTAAAAAAAAATGAAATGAAAAAGACAAAGCGACAACTTTAGCTTGGTAAAGGATTTTATATGAATGCGTGTGAAGTATAGAGTGGAGCACCTGGGGCAGGTGTGCAAGTTAACACAAGTTTGATCTCTTACACCTGCCTGAAATCCTCATCTTCTATACTTTTATCTTCTACCGTCCTTTTATTATATGAGCCTTTGACAACAAATGAAGAGACGTTTGACTATGTTCTTTCCCTCACTCTGATCACTAAGTAAAGCAAATCGTCATGTAATAGGAGATTGATGTTTGACCTCAGCCCCTTTATCTGCAAATAAAGGGGTTCAACTAGATCAGCGGTTCTCAATCTGTGGGTTGCGACCCTTTGGGGGTTGAATGACCCTTTCACAGGGGTTGCCCAATTGATAACAAAAGTACAGTTATGAAGTAGCAACAAAAATAATTTTATGGTAGGGGGGTCACCACAACATGAGGAACTGAATTAAAGGGTCACAGCATTAGGGGTTGAGAAGCACTGAACTCGATGCAGTCTGAGTCACTGTGTACCACTCATCTGTCAGTTTTTCATACTGTGGTGGCTTGCATTTTGCTCTGATGCTGGAAGATAGCCTATTGGTATTTCAACACGAGCAGCGTCACCCTTATTAAACAGATTGCAGCAGATCCTCCAGACTACGATAGATTAGGAAGAAAGGTCTGGCAACTCATTTCCCAAAATCAGCCTATGGAAATTTTAATGGATCCCAACAGAGTGCTGGAAAATGAGCCCCCTAGCTGAAAGGCACCAAAACATACAGTGGTCACAGTAAGGGCCTCAACCAGATACCTGCTTGTGAAAATGGCAGGGGTTCTGTTGCCTGTAGGGTCTCTGCCACAATAGTAAGTTACACCTGACTTTAAGCTTCAGCATGCTGCTGTGGTCTGCTGTTTTTAAAGGTAGATTGAGCTCTCGGATGTTCTTTACTTCCCTCTCCACATCCCTGCCTACCAGAGGGGAAGAACAGCAAGGTGATGGCTTTTACATTCTGTTCAAACTACCGTCATACTTCTTTCCATTCCATTGTCACAGCTTTTTAGAGCTAGACATGAAAATAAGTTTTATGAGAAGATGGCCTATAGAGAAAAGAAACCAAATGTTGTGCCCTCACCCAGCCGCCATCAAAACCTTCCTATAATACCATATATATGCCTGTGTAAGCCAAGTTTTTCAGCACATTTTTAATGCAGTTTTTGTGGTAAAATTAGGTGCCTCGGCGGATATTTGGGTCGGCTTATACTCGAGTATATATGGTAAGTTTTTT